TTATTAAATATTTTTATTTTTTACTTTACTGTTGGGGGCTTCGGGGAAATATTAGGGGTCTAAACAGACCCCTGATATTTCCCTTTTAAAATAGAAAAAAAGATTGAGGACACAAAGTCCTCAATCTCTTATTTTGCAGCCCCAGTTATAAATGAACAGGAATCCTCTATACTGAGTGTTCCTGTTCATTCATAACATGAGGACAGAGTATGTTTACTATATCCACAATCATGAATGAACAGGAGGTGATGTAGATCGCTTCCCATTCATTCATTATTGAGGACACTGTAAGCATACTCTGTCCTCAATTATTTACAAACACTTGGCGATCACTGAGTGTTTGTACCCACTCTCCTTCCTAACACGTGGCTGAGCAAGCGGTGTGCAGGGAGGAGATCTCGATCTGACAGCTGACTCCTCCCCATTACCGCCGGCCGGTCTCCTGTGACAGCATTGAGAGCTGTCTAGCCGCACACTCTCGTTTTCAGATCTGTGACAGGAGGGGGGGTCAGGCGGGGGGAAGAGTGGGGGGCCGCTCACAGTGTTATAATCACGCACCACTCAGCCTCCTGTGACAGTTTCTCTCCACCCTGCTGGGACACAGAACAGCGCCTAGCGGAGAGGAGAGAAACTAAGGATGCACCGCTCTTTCGGCCAAAAAATTGCACTTTCGGCATTTTGCCAAAAGTGCCATTTTCAGCCAATATGTTTCGTCATCCGATATATCGGAGCATCCCTACTTAAAACCCCTGTACTGTTTTTTTGTCGTCTATGTTCTATGGGGGGAATTTACTTTTACTTCCTGTCCTATAGGCTCAATGGGTTGATTTACCAAAGGCAAAAAGGCTGTTCATTTTGCAAGGCAGTTTTCCCTTAGTTTAGTTTAGGTGAGTTATCTTAGGGGAAAATTCACTGTTAGCACATAATTGGGTGATGGAAGTCAGCAGAGCTTCACATCATTCACTAAACTAAGGGGAAATTATTTTGTAAAGGAACCTCAATCTCTCCAAAATGCAGAAAATTCCTTCTTAGAACTTTGTTACCAGAACAAGTATCCCTAGTGAAATATTTTTCTTCTATTGCTCTTCTGGGGACATTTCAAACTTTTCAATTTTCCACCACTTTTAGTCCCACTGGTAATGTTTACTAGGATAATGAGAAAGGGTGACTCTCCTCACAAGGGACACAAACAGCAATACAAAATGGCTTTTAAACGTTACTTATTCTATCCAAATCAAAAAAACTTTTATATACCTTTAAAAAGGTTCATACAGTTATTACCTAATTTAAGTTGAACAGTATACTATAGGAGCTAAAAACATCCCATGTACACTCATCATAAAGCTAGTGACGCAGGAAGCACAGTTTCCAGTTGAGCAGCATTTGTCATGGCTGTGTCAGGGTAAAATCTCCTTGTAGTCATTGAGAACTTACAGAAATTTACTGTAACCATAATTTAATTTTATTCATTACACTGTTTTCTAAGTAATTTATTTTCCTAAATGCATTAGTTTAATTAAGAAACCCTTTATCGTACAATGCCTGTAGAGTTGCATATACCCTACAGCTATGTCTTGATGAATTACTGAAACTCTAAACAGGTAGGTTATGTTCCCTATATGTACTTCAATTTTAATTTCCTTTTTTTGCCTTCAGATTCATCCTCTCCAGAAAAGCATCTCTGCTGGCAAATCTGAGCAAGGAAGAGAGGTAATGCATTTATTCTGAATTAACTGCGGTACATCTATCCTCTCAGCTTACAATATTCTTATACTGCAAGGACAATAGTAAAAATGATAACCGTTATTAAATCCTATTGCAAATCAAAATAAGACTTATCTGTAGTCAATATGGAAATTTTATAGGGTTATGCATTAGGAAGTAATGCAACTATGGCAAGATTTTAGGTTAAATCAAAGTTTTTTTTTTTTTTTTGCAAATAAAGTTTTTATTATTAGATTACAAACGTAAAAGACAACTTCACATACATTTGTACAAACAATTGGTGTCATATCAAAAGGTATAAAACTGTTTGACACTTGGTACACATACAAAAGAAAGAGCGGTAAAGAGGTAAGGTAGGGGAGAGAAGGCCATGAGAAGTTTTAATTGAGTCCCAAAGTCTTAGAGAATGGGACGTAATCGGGTTAGAAGGAAGGTAAAGCCCTGCAAAGAATTTGTCTGCCTGATCAGTGGAGAAGTGGCCCTGGGACGAGTATAAATCAGAGAGATGTCGCTGGAAAACATTTAGGATGCTCACTGGGTTGCTGGTGTGGGTGCCTGTGGGGGTGCGGATCTTAATAGGCTTGAAAGAGGGGTCCAAACGTCTAAGT